TGGTATTCTGCACACTTTATGCTCCCTTTGGGTGGCAAATGTCAGATGCATTCCTCCTAGTATTTCTAGTTTGATAGTGATTTCCTAAGTTTACCTAGTGCTTTCTGTCACCATATAAGGTGGCCATGATGGAAGGAGGTGCACAGATCATCCATCACGGACTAAATTGTGTGGTCACCGCCCCCCCCATTCTACGTTCAACCCCCAATGTGACTGTATTTGGAGATAGGTTCTTCATGAGGTAATTAAGATAAAATGAAGTCATAAGTGTGGCTCGAATCTGACAGGACTGGTGTTCTTATAAGAAGAGACACCAAACACATGCAGAGCTTTCTGTCTCTGCTTGCACAAGCTGTGGAAGGGCCATGTGAGGACGCAGAGAGAAGGCAGCTGTCTGCAAGCCAGGAAGGAAGCTCTTACTAGAAATGGAATTTGTTGGCACCATGATCTTGGACTTCCAACCTCCAGAAGAGGGAGAATATAAATGTCTGTTATTTAAGTCACCCCGTCTGTGGTATTTTGCTATGGCAGCAGAGCTGACTAATACATCCAGGCTACGATGTGACTGTTGTAGTCCAAGCAGTGTACACAATGCACAGCATGTACAACTATGGCCCCTAAGATTTCTCACGTACACATTCAGCATGATGTTCGCAACCCCCTATGGGCCACCACTGTGATGTAGGAGAGTAAGTTAGATAAAACCCATCACTTCTTAGCCACATGGTCTTGAGCAAAGCCCTCAGTTCCTCTAGAGCCTCAGTTTCCTCCTGTTATAAATGTTTGTTAAGCCGGTTAAATCTACCCTCTCCACCAAATTTAATAAGATTCAGTACTGTTAATCATTTTTCATCCACCATGAAGAAACTCCTTGCATGAGTGTTTGCATGTGTATGATAATTTCTAAGTGTTCAAAAGGAATATTGTGTTGGTTTCGTTAATTAAAGAGTAAAATACTATTTTTAAATGTCTGTTATCATTGTGGTGAGAATTTTTCTGCCTTCATGTCTGCAAATGTCACTGCCTTAACCTTCTGGTGGATTGATCAGTGAGTCACTCACTGGTGACACCTCCTGTGTCACTAGGCATGAGGCTAAAGCTGACCTCTAGATAGTGGAGGCTTCCTGGAAATCTCTTTGGGTCATCCTAAGTCTGCTTTTGTCAATAGTTCCAGAAAAGTAGACACAGAGTTCATGGATCATATTCATTAATATCAATAATAGAATTCACACAAATAACAATCAATAAGAATTCACGAGGCCTCGCCTTGTTAACAGTAATAATAATGGTAATCATAATAGCTCAGATAGATGGAGACTAACTTTGGGAAGCCCCTGACAAAATGCATCATCTCAGTAACGCTTTAGGTTAGATACCATTATCTGCAGTATATAGGGAGGAAACTGAGGCACAGAAAGGCTAAATAACTTACCCAAGGGCCTATGGCAGGAAGTGACAGAGTAGGTTTGACATGCTCCAGGGGACTTGACTGCTGTGCTGTGCTGTCTCCACTGCAGGATCCCTAATGCCTGTCATCTGGGTCATGGGCTTTAGTTCAAGCAAGTCTCCCTCCTACCCTCTGTGGTAAGTAACACCACCAAAGAGATCTGATGTTGGGGATGTTCCCACAGACTTCTAAGTGATACACAATTGTTACTCCATTCACAGAAATCCTACTGAAATCATTCTGCTGTATAAAATCTGTATGTTCCTAATTTAAAAATATACAAAACACCCTTCCAAGTCACTTGAATTAACATTAGTATTAAGGAAGACAAGTCTGTAGAACCAGCCTCCTGGAAAGACAGAATGCCATCTCCTCAAGTCTAAGTGCTGTGTAATCATTAATCTACAAACGAAACGGAGATATTACCTGTTCTGTAAAAGCAAACCAATCAAAATTCCTAGAGGCTGCCAAGGGAACAAATCATGCAGAGAAACTGCTTTCTGCTTCTCTCTTGAAAGCCCTGGCTGTTCCCGGACCCTAAAACTCATTATTCCCCCACAGGTGAACAGCAGACTCCAGTAGCTGGTTGCTTCTAGAAAGTGGCAGCAACACATCTCAGTGTCTTCAAAGTTTGCTCATGACAAGGAAGGCAAGGATGGGGACTCACAGGGTGGGAAGTAAAGAAAGCTTTGAGCATGTTTATGGACCAAGAGGGTCAGCAGAGAGAGCGCGAGCAGTAGTAAATATAAGGAGAGAAAAAATTGATAGAAACAGATCCAGGGGCAAGTGAAAGATTTGCTCCAGTGAAATTAACATGAATATACTTGGAGATGGGAGGCAGCATTTAATTTTTAGAGACAAGAATGAAGATTAGTAGAAATGCAATTTTTTAGGTAGAGAAAGGTATGTGTGTCCACTGGCCTCAATTTCCTCAGAAAGGTGTGAGAGGGGTGAGGTTTGGATGAAGGAGGCTTCAGGAAGATGGAAAATGTGTAGAATCCAAAGTCAATTGGAAAGGGTTAAAAGGATTTCCAAGTAGAAGGGACTGTGGCATTGAGCTAAAATGGCATCGTTTTATAGTGGACTGCTTCCAGAGCAGAGGACATGGGGTTTAGTCCATTGCTGCTGAGTTGGGTCAAGCCCTTAGGTAACTGTCTTGTGCCTGACTTTCAAACTGAAACCTACCCTTCTGTGATTTATCCACACTTCCGTGATTTACCTATCCTCTGCTTGCAAGGCAATCCAAGGTCCTTAGCATGATACACAGGCCTTTTCCTAACTGGCCCCCGTTTGTGTCTCCAGCATTAGTTTTTGCCTTCTGCCACATTGAACTTAATTGCAGTTCCTCCAGAGCCTCAAGCACTTTCAGTGCTGCTGGGCCTTGAGCAAAGGATTCCCCTGAAAGAGTTTTCCTTTTAAATAAAATAACATGGATTTTTTTTTTTTAAACGCTGCCTCCTCTGAGAAGCCTTCCAGGGTCACCTGAGGTAAAACTGATCATTCAGTCTCTCCTTTTGCCGGCTTTATCTATGCTCTGTATGTGCTACTAACATCATTAGTCACTTCATAATTCAGCTATTTTAAAATGCACTTTTATTCATGTTTTTTAAAAATCCCTAAAATAAGCCAGATGTGGTGGTACATATTTGTAGCTGCAGCTACTCAGGAAGCTGAGGCAGGAGGATCAATTGAGCCTAGGGCTTGAGGCTGTAGTGTTAGGATCACACCTGTGAGTGGTTACTGCACTGTACCATGGCAACACAGGTAAACACTGTCTCAAAAAAAAAAAAAAAATCCCTTAAATTAGCATGCAACTTAGAATCAATGGTGTATCATAGTTTAATTGACAAGATTTTAAAAATTTTGGGGTGATACTAAAAAAAAAAAGTACATCTTACACTCGAGACCATTTGGTGAAATGCCGCTTCATTTTCTAACTTTCTAAAGTGAGTGTAGAAGTGTTTCTCAGCCGGGCGCAGTGGGTCATGCCTGTAATCCCAGCTCTTTGGGGGGCTGAGGCAGGTGGATCATGAGGTCAGGAGTTCAAGACCAGACTGGCCAACATGGTGAAACCCTGTCTCTACTAAAAAATACAAAAATTAGCTGGGCACGGTGGCTCTTGCCTGTAATCTCAGCTACTTGAGAGGCTGAAGTAGGAGACTTGCTTGAACCAGGACTGGAAGGTGGAGGTTGCAATGAGCCAAGATCACACCACTGCACTCCAGCCTCAGCTACAGAGCGAGACTCCATCTCCAAAAAAGAAAAAAAAAAAAAAAGTGCTTCTCATATTGCCTCCCACCCAACCCATGCCGCCACCCTTGGCAGTGTCTGGAGACATTTTTAGCTGCATCAACTTGCAGGGAGGACTAGCTGCTGGCATCTAACAGGCAGAGACTAAGAGATCCTGCTAAACGTCCTGTAATACACAGGACAACCCCCGATAACAAAGAATTAGCCAGGCCAAAATGTGAAAAGTACAGAGACTGAGAAACCCTGATGTAGAGAACCAATACCTACTTGGGTATATAATAGGTTTTATTATGTTTGATTTTAAATAAATATTTTACAGTGTATAGTGAGTGCAACTTAATGTATAGTAACTTTTTCCAAACCTTGGCTTGTACAAAACAGCAACTCTTGAGACATACTCTAAGCTCTCTTCATCACCCCTTCCCAGCTCCCTTCTGCTAGATGCCTCAGGGGAATCAATACAGCAACGCTCCTGGTCAAAATCTGAAAGCCAGAAGGTCTTGGAGAGATTTGTGACCTTAAACCAATTAGGTTAGTTAATGGCAAGTCCAGGACTGAAACCCAGCCCCCCAGATTTCTGCAATTTCACTCAGGCTGGGAGGCAGCTGCTTCGTTCCTGGGCTAAATTGGCTAGCACAGTTTGGTACCTTAAGAGGAAATGTGCCCTACCTATATGAGCTGGGTGACTTAGCAAGAGTTTAGCATTAGTATTTACGCTTCAACACCCGGGACCCACCCGGCTCTCACCCCACTTTATGAGAATTTAGGTTGACTCTGTAAGACCCCTCAGCTCTGTGGGGAATTGGATTTATGCAAAAAATAATTGTGATTCATGAATGTGAAGGAATTTTAAATAAATGTAGATGATTTCATCATACAAAAGGCAAAAGGGACTTAGTAAGTGTATTTAAGGCTCTGGAGGAAGCGTTATTAATTTGGAAAGGGGGTGCAGGGAGCCGTCCTCTATCCCTACAAGCCGCACGTGTGGAAAGGGCCTTTCTAGTGCAGGAAGCTGATTTATGTGAGAGAGGAAGGAGTTCCAGGAGGAGGTTTTGGCAAGGCCGTCCCCAAATCTCGGTTCTGCAGCCAGGCAGGCCTCAGGTGAATCTGGGGCTCCCTGCCCCTCCTGCTGAGTCCCCAGGGTGTCCCCCGCCCCCTTCCTTCTCCCACCCCGGCTGAAACGCGGTTAGCAGCAGTGCTTGGGATCCTGCGACCCACCCATCGCCATCCCAGCAGCCCCGCCCTTGGAGCATGGGGGTGCACCCTGCACGCCAGAGGCGATGGCGGAGTCCAGACTACTAACCTTCAGGTGGATGGGAAAAGACCGCTCCTGCTGGAGGGGTTCCAGCAGCGTCTGCTCCACACTGACCAGCTCCGAGGTCGAGTCCACCACGCGGGCCAGCGCGCTGCGCATCGCCATCCGGGCCAGGGTGCAAGGTCCGCGGTCCCGAGGAAAGGGCAGTAGCTCAGCGCCCCCCTCCGCGCCCCGCACCACCGCCTCCTCTGGGGAGCTAGCCCGTGTGCGGGTCCCCCGATTCCTGGCCCCCACGCCCCTGCCCCGTTCCTCGCGCCCGGGCCCCGGCCAGGCCCGCTGCCGGCCTGAGCGACCGACTGGGGCAGGTGGACACGTGGTCCGGGTTCCCGGGGGCGCCCGGACCGTCCCCCCAGCCCCACTCCTGCTGCAGCAGCTGCAAGGTCTGCAGAGCCACCATTTGGTGGCCGATGGAGGCCACTAAGGGCGCGGGGCTGGCCATCGCCTCCGCTGGCGGCTCGGCACGCTCCGCTTACAGGTGGACCAGTCGCCAGGGTCACATTTTCTAACCCGCACTCCTCAGCCTCCGAGTCTCACAACGTGTGTGGTCGGCCCCGCCCCCCGCTCGGAATCCGTGACCGCGCTGGCCTCTGCCTTTGCCTAAACTCCGAATTGGCGTGTTCTGACCCAAAGCTGCCTGACGCGCTGCTCGGTGTGCACTTGAAAATCAGCGAAATGCTGATCGCTGGTTCTTTTCCCCTCTTCAGCGCTTTGATGAGAAAACGTGCTGCTTTGTGCGGGTGCATCTATCGGCGGGATCCCCCGCCCCCACCTCCTTCGAAGAACGCTTGCCAGTGACCACTGAGGCCTGGGAGGTGGGGGTGCAAAAGGCCCGCCCTAGGGCAAAAGTACCAAGAACTCTAGACAAACTTGCAAAGGGAACACTGAGCCTTTCCTAACCCGAGGAGAATTTTCAGAAACCTGTTGAAGCAGCCATCAAACAAAAGGAGGACTTGCATCCCCCAAACAAAAGGAGAACTCGTGTATCTGGAAGTTCTGCTCTTCTCTGCTTTCTTTGCTTGGTGCCACTTGAGCACCGAGAGCCTGGTGAATGAACCAGCACCAGCAAGCCCCAGGGTCCAGGCCTGGCACTGCCCAGAAAAGCCCAAATAGTTTTGTGTGGCACTCCCAAAAGACTTAGGCAGCAAGGCTGAAGTTAATCCTTTTATGAGCCATGAACTCAGGGACAGCTGTACAAATAGTTGCTGTTTTTAATTAAACCCAACGTGGCTACTTCCTTCACTCAGAAAAAAGAGTCTGGCAATGTTATGCTTTGATAGATTCGAAACCATTGCTGTATGATCACACTAAGAAAATAGAAGATACTTGAGAGGAGCGGTATGGAAGACCAGTCCAGAACAGCCTCATTCCTGCTTGCTTTCTGCAGGGAAAACCATCAGACGACCCAACAGCCCAGTAGAGCTGGGGCAATGGTGCATGCCCATGACAGACAGGTAGGCCCTGGCAGACCGAGGATGGAATTTCATTCCTCCTTTAGGAGCCAAACTCCACCCTTGGTGCTGTGGAGATCTGGAGAGGCCTTTGAGTGAAAAGGCCACTCTGGTTCGTCTGTGAGCACAGAAGGGTCGTCGGAAGAGATTCGGAGAGGGATGTGGGGTCCTTTAAGGTTTCTTTAACTCTGGGATAGTATGACCCCATATAATCCTCCCAACTTGCCAGCAAAGGTTCCTTCTCCTTCCTAGTGTTTTCTTTGCCTATGAAAACAAATCTGAATGCCAAGGTAAAGAAAACCTTTCTTAAACAAAAACGAGTATGTTCACACTAATTATAACTAAGTAAAAATGCATGTCTGTGCATTGACAGAGAGGAAATTACTTTGGAGGGAAGTAAATAGTTTAACGTTGATTAGATTTTCTTGCCATGAAGTTTCTTAAGTTCATAATAAAAAATAGAAATTTTTCTTTTTTTTAAAAAAAATCCTCAAATGTTGAAATACATTAGGTTCAGCAGAGACTAACCAGCAATAGCAAAATGAACCCCTAATTTTCACAGAACATGTCAGATCTCCAGGGCTGCTTCTCCTTCCAGATACACAGGAAATTCAGTTTCATGGGCTAACCCTTCCACTCTCAAATGGCTGACTGCAAAACTTTCTTGACAGATGGAATTCCAGCCAACAGCAGAATTGAAATCACTAGACACAGGCTAACCTGAGGCCCCACTCTTCTACATATCAGGCTGAGTCAGAGCCATGAGGCCAGCGGAATCTCAGGGGGTATGACAGAAGGGTGCCAGAAAACCCTGGGGCCTGAGGGATGGTACATGCTACTTAAATAGCTGCCTGCTTTTTCTAGGATCCTCAGGAAGCCCTGGATCATCCAGCAACTGAGTGCTTTGTCTGTCTTGGCCATGGGTCACACTGTCTTTTGCTATGACCTCAAAATGGCTTATGTTCCAAAGCTAGAGATATGAGAACCTAACTCAGGAAAAGTTTTCATTGAATTTTTAGATGAGTCAATAGCATAGCAGATCTACCTTTGGTCTAAAACACCTCCATAGTTATGTATCCTGTGCTACCAGACCAAGTAATAGACAGCCTACTTCCTATCCACTGTACTCAGAATTTGAGGCTATTCCATAATAAAAGGGCACATTCCAAAGGACAAAGTAGTATACATCTGCTGTGTTTGTTTCACAGCATCTATTTCACTATTTTATAGAAGTCATACCCTCATTTCTCAGTAGATACGCTTTTTCCTCCACACTCGGCCCATGAAGTCAGATGGGATGAATGCATCTCACTGCAGAAGGGTACTGGATCATCCAGCCTAAGCCCCATCACACGTCACACCCCTACAGCGCATGGTCAGAAATGGGCACATGACCAGCTAGAGCCAATGAGACAGTCCTTTTTAGGATGCTTTCAGCTGAATGGACTGTAAAGAGAAAACAACAGAAGCAAAGAGTATCGGCCAAAACAAAAAAGTGTTGGCCAAGAGATCAAACAGCAAAAGCTCAAATTCCCTTTAAACCAGAAAACTCAACATAGAATAGTTCAATCAATAGGAATAATTGATTGTCTTACATCACAAGAAGTCCAAAGGCAGGGTGGCTCCAGAGTTGGTTAATACAGCAGCTCCTTAGTGTCATCAAAGCCCTCAGCTCCTTCCTTCTTCCTGCCATGCCATTCCCAGCACATCAGCTTTGTCCTTGATCTTTGGGCTAGTTCTCCTATGGCTACTAGTGGCTGCTGGCCTCATGTCTAGACAACAACATCTAGAAGAAAAGGCCATTTTTTCCTATGTATTCCTTCTTGAGAGTAAGGAGACACTTCTCAAAAACCTTCAGCTGGCTCCCTCTCACATCTCCTTGGCCAGAAATGTGTCACACGATCTTGCCTCATCGATCATAGTCAAGAGGAAAGAGGCCACCATAGTCAAGAGTCTAAGGTGACCTAGAAGTCATTGTAGGAGCTGGGGCTGAGTCTAGCCTCCCTTGAAGCAATTGGTGGAGGGAGGATGGAAACTACTTGATATAAAACAAAGTTGTTGTTTTTTGTTTTTTTTTTACCAAGCATCAGCAATGGCAACAGAGCACAATGAGGAATTTGCAGGGGTTTCCGGGTAAAGAATACATCAGATCTCCAGGGCTGCTTCTCTTTCCCAATACACAGCAAATCCAGTTTCACGAAGCTAATCTTTCTACTGTCAGATATCTGACTTCAGTGACCCCTGTGCAAGCAAAGCTGAGAAGATACAAGTTCTCGAGCCTCTGCAGCCATCTCATGAGTTTGATGGGGAGAAGCCGCCTGTGAATGAGCCAGCACTCATGGAGAGAAGACATTCATCAAACAAAAGCCAACAGATGTATAGAGAGAAACCGTGGCCATGGGGCAGCATTTGAGCTCCACATTTAGCAGCACAGCAAGACAGCTCCACCTCTGAGCTTTTCAGTTATACAAGCCAGTGAAGTCTCTTTTTGCGTAAGCCACTTTGGATTGGGTTCACTGCCTGTCGCGACAGGAGTCACAACTGAAGCAAATAGCATGACATATAGGAAAGATAGCATGTTCATGGCATGACCCTGTGACCCAGTGCCCTTTAGTCAAAGCACTGCCATACGGACCTTCCGACCACTTCCAGCAGTGCTTCTGCCATTCACCTAACCTTTCTATGGTTTCAACAATTGTGGAAAAAGCTCTTTGGGTAACTGATGGGAGCATTTTAAAACGAGCACTGGAAACATTCAGCATCCCGTGGGATGGCAAAGAGAAGAGGATAGAAAGCTCAGTGAAGTCAGAAGCAATTTTCCACCTGCGAATGGGCAAGGTAGAGTGTTGTCAGATAAATGAATATTCTGGCACTTCTGTTAATCCAAGGTTTCCTTTCCCACATGAGCAAAAAGATGCAAGTTCCTATGTGGAAGCGTGGAGAAGCCGGGCACAGTGAGAACCAAAAGGGGCTGGCAGAAGGTACAGCTCTGTGGAGCCGTCCTCAGAAGACTTGGCAGAGCGCAGATACATTTGAGCCCTGCTTATATTCTTTGGCATTTTTCCTCAAAAGAGATCCAAGAGAATTCCAGAAATGGAGCTGTTAACCTTCAGCGCACCCTGGTGAAGTTCATAGGTGAGGTCAGAACAAAACATGTCCAGAGACGGAAGAGTTATTATTCTTGAACGAAAATTATGATTGAGGAGAAACAGATGCTGAAGAGATACACCAAGATATGAAAATGTACTATAAAAGAGAAAACAATGGAACTAGGACAAGGTGTAGGCCCAAGAAAGCAAAAAATAACTAAATTCCCTTTTTTCAATGTACCATTGTAATGTTTGAATATGCCAAGTTACAAAAGTAAATGCACATGCCGTTCTAACTTTGGCCATTTGATTTTGGGGGTAAAACAAAGATGCAATACTGCCTTGAAGTCTCTGAATTGCCAAAAACAATTGTTTACATAGGATGGTGTGCTTTCAGAACATCCTATACGCACTGCCTTCCCAGACCCTGTGAAGCTGGTGAAGCTTAATGAAACTAGAGAAGAAAAAATACACAAGAGGGGGAAAAGGGAAAGAAAATCAGTTAAAACTGTTAACTCCCACTGCCACTCCAGTTGTCATCTGATGGACATTTGTGCCTTTGCAATTTGTCAACACAAAATGCAATTCTTGCTGGACATAGAAATCACCGTTCTTGGTTCTGTCTTAATAATCAGTTATTTCGTTTTGGTTTAGTAATCAGTTTATTTTTAAAGGAGAGTTCTTGATATTGGCAGAAAGAAAGCAAATTGGATTTTTAAAAAGTCAGTATAATTTTTTTCTAATTATTGTCTTTGGTGGATGACTTCAAGTTTAGGAGTGATGGAATGCATGAATTTTCATGCTGCCTACAGATCATTTCAGTAAGGCAACCTTGCTGGATATCCTGTCCATTTTGGATTACAAAATCTAACTCCTGGGGAATATCCTTTCCCTTGGAGAGAAAAATTTAAAAGCTTCTTGGTTTCCTGAACCATTTTGATTATCTATGTAGATAGGACTTATAGTATTTGAAATGAGGTGGGGGAAAGAGTAGCAGTGATAAAAATGGAGAGGAGAAAAGGTGGGGAGTGTTTCAATGATTTTGCCAACTAATTTCCAGGATATTTTACCTTAACGAAAAAAAGTGACTATATGACTTTCTAGGATCATCCTGCAATTTCAAGTTTCAGTAGGCATTTTACTGTGATGAAAAGAAATGCT